TTCTACTTCAGCTACACCTTAAGTGTGTGGCTTAAATAAATAAGTCATATTTATTCTACTAAATTTAGAATGACTGTGTGCCACAGTAGTGCTCATACATAGTTAAGACTTACGACTTGATTCGCATGGCATTTATGAAAAAACTAGAATTGTACCTAATCACCAAAAAACTCCCTATGGCCTTCTAGAAGTAAATAAAAGGATTTAATTTTTTTAAATGTAATATCATGAATCATTCTATTTCAAAAGAAATCAGGAGTGGTAGTATCCAAATATATATGTACTTTGAAGAAACAGGTGATTTCTAAATCTCCTAGAAGTCACACAAGCAGTAACATTGTACAAAGCTTTTCAGAAAGAATTGCACTAGTCTAATTTAAGATAAAATAAGAACAAAGAATTGTATAATTTCATCTCTTTATTGTGCCAACAAACACAAAGCCCCTTACTCTGTGGCTGATCTCCATTTTATGGAAGAAGCCACTAGGGCTTAAAGAGGGAAGCAGAACCAGGATTTATACCTTGTTTTTTACAACACTAAATCCTTTGCTCATCTGTCAAATCATAGCCTTTTGTATATGATGTAACAGTGTTTCATATGCTAAAGTCTGAACTTTTTCATAACCGAGACATATTCTATTTGTCCCTAACTGTCCAGTGCCTCTTTCAGAGCCTAGGTCTTTATGTGCAGTCAGAGAATGCATGGTGCATGGGTTCATGAATGACTGAAGGAAAAGACAAGCACTGCCTTTCATATTCTAAAAGCTTCCTTAACTCAGCTGAAAGGTTTCTCTCTATGGAAGGTGTAGTTTCCCCAAAATAAACTTCAAGTGTGTGTCACTACCAGAATGCAAGTGGATCAAAAGGCCTTTCTTTTTATTTTTACTCTTCCCACAAAGTGAAAAAAGTTCCTTTGTTATACCTAAAATATCTGCTCCAGATCTTACAATGTTGTCTCTTAACGAAAGTACTTATTATTGTGGCTAATTTGGTCACATGTGTTTGAGGAAGAACAATGCCTCAGAAAATTTTAAAAGCAAAACAGCAATCTGAAGCACTTGTTGTAATGAGATGTAAATTGCCAACATTGGGAGTGGAGCTGACTAAAATTTGCAATGAAGTGATTCTTCCCGCCTTAAATTAAAACCACTAGAGGCCCTCCCTCCTCTCCTCAACGAAACCACATGTTTTTTGTTGTTGTTGTTCCTTTTCTTCGTGATTCTGCAAAACTGAACACTGCACTTTATGAACTGATTTATTCCTTCATTTATTTGCTATTTTCCTGCTCTGTTCTGTGCTTGCCTCTTTTCTGGGCTCTTCCAGAGGCACTAACAGTCTGTGACCCTCCTTTGCAGGTAGGAAAGCTGTGGTGGAGAGAGATTAAATGACATTGCTAAGGTCATGCAGTATGAGTCACACCCAGATCTGCTGAAAGGTCCCTTTCAAGATGTGCCTTTGGTTGTTTTTTTTCTCACTGCCCTTCCCTTGCTGAGACCAAGGCACCATGTATCTTCCATACACAGTGACCTGGGGGGAGGGCTGTTGTTAAACCTTTCTGATTGAGTATGTTAGGAAATATTTTTCCTTGAGAGACAGAGATCCCAGTAACATCGGTGTTAGACAAAATTCTATCAGTTCTTGATGAGACCAGCATAAGCATAGGGAAAGGAGGCAAACATGGATTACAAGGTTTGTGCTAGATTAGGGGGAAAAGCAGACCAGCAGGGTTCTGACTCAGAACCCATGGTTTAGCAGAGATAAAAGTAAGAACATAAGTACAATGTGTGGGGAAATGGGTAGTGGGAGGCGAATTTACCACCCACCCACTCTGTGCCAGACTCTGAAATAATAGGTTCCTATATGTGGTTAACTCATTTAAGTTTCTATCCTAACAAATCACTATTGTCCTTCCATTCAGGTGAGGCTTGAAGGTCAGAGCGGTTAAGTAATTATTTAAGTGTAAATTTTTTCTGGAGATAAAATTTGAACCAGATGTTGGGTGAGTCTGGTCCCCAACATAAAAAGAGACAGTGCCTGTGTGCCCTTAACCTCACAGCCTATAGGGGAGACAGAGAAACAAATGAGAGCACTAGATGTATCTGGTAAATTTTGGTGAGGGGTAGGGAAGGTCCAGAGAAAGGCAGTATTCTACTGTCCAGAAAGATCCCAATGCACCTCCAGTAAGTACAAACCTAGTGTTTAAATCCCAGTGATTCTGGCTCTAAATCCCAAGGCAAAGGGTGAAGAAATTACCTAACATCCATTTGGGGGAATAGGGCAGCCTCATGGAGGAGTTGACATTTGAGTCAAGCCTTAAATCACTGGTGAGGTTTGGACAGGTGGACAAAAGGAGCGGCAGAAGCTAAGGCGAGGAGGCAAGAGAGGTGTGATGGTGTATATGTGTGGAAAGGGCTAGGCGAGCCCTTTGAATGAAATAGAGTCTGACCTTTTCCTTTCACTGTCCCTTAGATGTCTCTTAGTAGACAGGATGGACAGAGAGTCCTTTGTCTATAACTATAAATATCTAAACTGGCCATTTTCCTGACTAGATGTTTCTGATCTGTACTTAGTCCTGATTTCTACTTCTTGGGCTACAAGAAAGGTTACAGACATTTACATTTACCCTCACCTCTTCCCCCAAGTATGCGACTCAGCAGCAAAGCTTTATTTCAGAATCTTTGCCCAAGCTCATTAAAGAACCCCCAATTCTCTCTCCCCAGTCATGTCATGAGGAATTTACTTAGAGCCTGATATGTGCAAGGCACTGTCCCAGGCTCCAAGATTGTAAAGGGAATAAAACTTTGCTCTTGAAGAACTTCACAGTCTAATGTTGAAAACATAGATTCCTATTGACAATGTAGAGACCCCTACCCAGGAGCAAGATATCACGAAGGAGATACTTGGATTGTGTCCTAAAGTCTGCTGGGTAGACAGAGGAGGCTAAGACAACAGCACAGAGACCTGGAATAACACAGCCCATGAGGAACCTGAGCAAAGGTGTGAATATTGGAGGGAGCAAGACATGAGTCCTAGAGGTAGAAAAGAGGCTGGTTGCCCTGGGCTTTCAGGAAGCTGTGATGTGGGTCTTAATTTTGAGGGTAATGGGGAGCTTAAGCAAAGAAGGACAAGGTCATGTGACAGAGCTCATTGGCAGTTGCTGTGGAGATAGATGGAAGAGAACCAGACCTATGTCATAGCTGGACTGGATTCCTTCTTTTGTCCAACAGTATTTCCTCATAGGAGCAAAAGGAAGTTTTAGAGGAGGGGCATAATCTTGCCAAAGATGACCCAAGAGCCAGTGACTGCGTAGCCCTCTTCAACCTATTCCTTTTTCCTATTACTGACTATCAGAGCAGAAGAGACTTCAGGCTCCAACTCAGCCTGTGCTGTAGGAGAAACTGAAGTAATTACCTTTTCCTAGATCTGAGAAAAGACCAAATGTTCCACTTGTTTGTTTGTATCTCAAGAATTTCACCTGAGATCACAGTGAAGAGAAACTTTGGCATCTGCTTCTGAAACTTTAGAATTATTCATTCATTGTTGTCATTTTCAAAATTTTCTTAGCAAACATTTGGAGAGCACCTACTCAGTGCCAAGTTCTGAGACAAAGGGAAAAATAAGGCCTAAGCCTAGCCTTGGAATAGGGCACACACTATTGAGAGATGCTATCAGAATCATTATGAGGCTATCACTCCTTCACTCTGCCAATTTCTGCATCTACAGTTCTTTCACCTGTGTTCACACAATCAAAACATGGCAGAGGATGTGACTTGAGATCTCTTTCCCAAGCTGAAGTGAGCTCTTTCATCTCAATGTTCTGCTTCCCAGTCATCTTGCATTTAGCTTTGAGTAAGAGTCATGCTTAAATCTTTGGGAACTATAGAGATTCTGTCTCGCAGTTGGTAGTTGCCAGCAACTCAGGATTGATATTCTCATTTTAGGAAGCTCTGTCATAAGGAATTTTAGTAAAATTGCCCATAACTTCACTTCTAACCAACCAAAGTCTAAGATGAGTCAACTGAATGTAGAGTTGCAACCAGATTATTGTATAGGAATTTAGTGTATAAAGAGTTTTATACCCAGTTGTCCACATGATTATGATAATAGGCTGGAATCTGAATTCATCAGTTGCCCAAGTTATAAGTACAACTATGGACAGTTCCCTGATCCCAGTCAACTCCTAAATGTTTGCTTAGGAGTATTCCAGCATGCTAAACTCTGTTGGCTTTTGAAGTTGTTCTCCCACAAAAGCTAATCAAGTCATTTGGCCTTATTTACCCATTTTTATCCTATTTCTGTGCCTTTTGGTAATCAAGACATAATAAGTGATTTAGAAAATAGTCCATCATTTTTAAAAGTTAGTGGAGAAAAAAATTCCCCTTAAAAACCATCACCATCTAGTTTCCTTCATCTTCCTTTATCTGTCTAGCTTCCTTTTATTGTTTAAACCTCATGTAATTTGTATTGATTCCGTTAAAATAAAAATCAGAGGAGCTGCTGGATCAGGCAATCAGGGCCTTAGCCTATATTGTGTTTTAATCTCTTGGTTGAAATTCTCCTGTCTAAATACCAGGTCCTAGAGAGGGAGAGACCTTTATAGTCCTAAAACTTTCCAGACCTCCCCTGCCCTCTTCACTATAGGCTATAGAGATGGGTGCTGTATTGCATTAACTGCCAGTCCTCCTCGAAGACAGAACCTCTTTCCTGTGCAGGAAGTTAAGACCCCTGACTTTTCATGTGGACAGCAACGCTCTAGAAGAGCATTCTTCATTCATACTTAATCAGAGTCTAGTTCATTCTTATCTTCCAATTTTCTACCTTTTCCCTTGTGACATTCATACCACATATTATTTTTGAGTCTGGGTTTAAGTGTAGAGCAATAGACAAAAATAAGCTAGCATATTTTTTGGTGCCACTATGTGCTGATAGATGCATAGTTAAAAATATTTGCCTTTATTTTCTTTGGAGTTCTAGACAGATCTCTTTTCTTAACTGCCTAGGTCCTGCCATTGACTTGGAAAAAGTAAAGTCAGAATGTCTCGAACCCGAGCCGGAGTTACGGAGCACTTTCAGTGAGGAAGCAAATACGTCGTCCTATTACCCCGCTCCTGCACCTGTCATGGACAAGTATATCCTAGACAATGGCAAGGTAGTGTTTTAAGCTCAATATCCATTCCCTGCAAGTGTTTGCTAGTCAGAGTAAAGGTGGAGAGTATGGTGGGAGCTTTTTGAAACACAGCTTGGCTGCATGGCCTCCTGGCCTAGCCCTGAGTGATTATTTGCAGAATTTATATATTACAACTAGTGTAGGTTTATTGGGACTTTTTCTTTCTTCTTCCTGTTATTTTTTAAAAAAGTATTGGGCCAGAGTAACTATAAAACTAAACTGACATTTTAAAATAGCTTATTAGAGAGAACGATTCAGAAAAAGAATTGCCATGATAGTTGGATGAAACTTGTCCTACCTTACTATAAAACTAGATGCCTAAAGTTTATAAGGTGAACTGGAAATGAAATACTCAATTTACAGGTTAAAATTGAATATATATTCATTCACCATTTACAAAGTATATTCCCAGCCTCTGCTAGATACCAGGGACACAGAGGTGAATGAATCACACTCCTTTTCCCTAAGCTGCTTCATGTGCATTTGGTGGTGGTTAGCCCACAATCTTGGGGCCACATATAACTGCTCAGATTTTCTTGAATGACCCTAAAAAACAAAAGCACAGTAATACTTATATTGATACAGGGATGAAAAGTAAAGGGATAGCCTTTAGAATTCTTAAAGTCACATAATGATATATAGGGCAGGGAGGAAACTGTTCTTACCCTTATAACATCCAAGTGAATTCATCTTTGAGGAAGTCTGGCAGAGCCCTTTGTCAAGGCCCTGGTAAAATCCAGTTTTAGTGTTACATTCTATGCCACTACAGTACATATTACAGACATTACCTCTTCTTCTCCCCAAAGAGTCACTCATCTCTGTCAGTTCATTTTTCTTGTCTCCTGCTTCAAAAGGTCTCTGTTTATCTGGTATCATTCCCTGGTGGGTTGATGAGAAAGAAAAGGTTGTTTGATTTGGGTTTGTCCAGCTATATCCCTGCAACTAGCCAACCTGAGCCAAAGCAAATACTGTCAAGCTGAGGAAATGAAACTTGTTAGTCTTCAGGGCTCTTGGATGTGCTGCCATTCCTTGTGTCTCCCAGGGAGTGCTTCCTCCCCTGCAGAGTCATGGCTGAGGGGCCAGGCCACAGGCCTTGCCTTTTCTCTGCCACACAGGCTTTACCATTCAGCTTTGCAGAGGAGAGGTGGCATGACAGAGTGGAAGGAGGAAGCCTAGAGACTGAGTTTGTAGCATAGCTCTATCCTCTGTCCTACCTGTGTGACCTGGGCAGGTCCTTCACCTTTCTGGGCCTTTGTCTTTATCTTTGAAAAAGGCAGATCAGATTGATGCTTTCCATAGGCTTTTTTTTTTTTAAGCTTAAACTGTGTGTCTAAGTTTGGTGAGCCTTCACCAGTTGAAGATAAAAGAAGAGAGGATGATTTTGAGTTTATTGATTTCCCTTTAGTTATGACCATATTGTGTGGTGACTAGAGTTTTTCTTAAAGTAGATTCCAAGAGAAATCTATTTCTTTCTTGCTTTGAAGGCTGATGGACAGTTTCTGAACATTATAGGGGTCCTCTTTTGCAAAAGCAGCAGACTTCTCCCAAGAAAATGGAGGGAGTATCATTTAATTTTTTACACATTAATTAACAACAAACCTTGAAAATTCCTCTTTTGTTTTTACCAGTATGTTGCTATAAAACTCACCTGGTGTTTGTTTGCAACTAATTTGTAGAGATTTATTAAGAGAGATTTATTAAGGGGGAGGAAAGGAAGCAGATACCCTGGAGATGGATGGCAGCTTCCCAGAGCAGCATTTCCCACATCCCATAAGTAGCCCTCATTGCTCTTGGCTCTGTTGTCTTTTCTGACTCTTCCTTCTCTTTGTGTGAACAGAGACCTTAATCTCTGAAAGACCTAGAGCCCTGGAATGGGATCCAGTTCCAATGAGAAAGTCAGTCTTGCCCTACAAAATATTTCACAAAGATATTTTGGTCAAGTCCTGTCCTACCAGATGCCTTATTTTTTAATAACTTCCCCTGATAAATAATGCTAATGTCAAATCTTACTGTGGTTTGCATGAATAGGGCTTGCTACACAAGTTGCTATCTGATTCTGATGAAGTACATTGCTTTTCTTTGTCTAAGATGTTTTATTTCAAAAACTCATTGAATCTAAAACTGCAAATAACAGTAATGTTTAAATAATCGAATGGGGAGACACACCCAGAAAGGGGACTCGTCTACTACTGCGGAACAAGTTAGAGGCAGGCAGGACCTGGAAGCCACATCTCCTGATTCTTAGGCCAGTGCTCTTTCCAGGTTATTCTGCTGTGCCCCTGAGAGCTGTATGTGGCTCCTGGTGGCCCTGACCATGCTGGCTCAGGAGTCCTGTGAACAGTCTTACCTGGGGCTATTTCTTTCTGTGATGTAATGTTGACATTGTTCTCAGGTGAATGACAGAAAGTATTTTCTTCTCCAAGAAACAGAAGCTCATCAGAACTGAAAACCAGTGCCATTAAGGCATATTTAGTATATCCATCTGTTTCTTACTATATTGTGTCCAGATTAGTCCTGATCCCTTTGTAAGGGATGGAAAAGACTCTGTGAGCTAAAGATTCAGAGGGATGGAACTTAACCCTGGAGCAGTTAAGCAATGTTCCCTGAATTTTAGACCAAGGCTGGACAGATTAGCAAGCTTATGATGACATAGGGAAGGCATTTATTCCTAGACAGGGATATAGCATGAGCAGAGACAAAGGTAGGGAAAAGAAGTCCAAGGTTGTCCCAGTTATTGGATATGTACTATCCTTCTGACATTTAACTTACCTCATTCAATTCTCAAAACAACTCTGTGAATTAAAAGATGATCTGCCTATTGTACAGTTGAAAAAGGTAAGGCTCAGAAGAGTAAAGTGATCAGCTGACGTTAACCAGCTTGTAGACAGAAGAGACAGAATTCATACTCAGGGCTGATGGCTCCAGAGCCCATCCTCTTTCTGTTATAGCACGCTGGAAGTAGAAGGAGGCAGACAAGTTCAGGAGCTTCATAAATGGATGGACATAATGGGTTAATAGACTGGAGATGGTATCCTCGTGAACCTTTAAAGCCAGGCTGAGGAGGTCAGAGCTGATGAGACAGGAAACAAGGAGCCACAAAATTCCAACGGGTTGACATAAAAACACAGCGTTGAAAGATGACTGAAGTCATCTAGTCAAAGGAGGAAAGTAGTGTTTTAGAGCAATTAATGTCAGTGATTTCAGGGTGGGTTGGAGGCTGCCGTGACTGGAGGCAAGAAAACCAATCAAACCCATGACTTTTTTCCTGGTTTTGTCTGCAGTGACAAACTCCACTGAAGGCTGGCACAGAATGTGGCCAGCAGTTGCAGAGAAATACTCAGAAGAAGAACTAACTGAGCTCTAGGTCTGCTGTTTTCAACTATATCAGTACCATGGTGATATTTGCAGCTGCAGGAAAGACCAGGGGAGCATGAGTTGGGTGTCACAGAGATTTGGCTTTGAATCTTGATTTCAAAATTTACTGTGGGTCTTGAGGAAAGTAATTTAGTCCCTCTGAGTCTGTGTTCAACCTGTAAAGTAGAAACAATAGTTTCCACCTTTTTCCATTTCTTAAGGTCATACTGAGGATTAAATAGAGTTCTTATAGATACTTAAAAATAATGCCCCCTTTCTCTTCTAGAACAGACTTAACTGATGGTCATCTACCTTTTAAAAACAATAAAATATTATAGGAAAAGGGTAGAGATGTTTGAAAAACTGAGATTGTCTTCTATTTCTAAGGTTTTTGGATTCAGAATTTTTTTTAAGTCATAAATAAGTCAGGCACCGGAGGCTCACGCCTGTGATCCTAGCTACTTGGAAGGCTGAGATCCAAAGGATCACAGTTCAATGCCAGTCCAGGCAAATAGTTCAAAAGACCCCATCTTAACCAATAGCTGGGCATGATGGCTCATGCCTGTCATCCCAGCAACAGCAGGAAGCATAAAATAGGAAGACTGACATCCAGGCCAGCCTGAGCAAAAAGTGACACCCTATCTCCAAAATACTCAGAGCAAAAACAGCAGATGTGGCTCAAATAGGGAAGCACCTGCCCGCAAGTGAGTAGCATGAGTTCAAACCCGAATACAGCAAAAAAAAAAAAAAAAGTCATAAACAGCATTTAACCTTGGTACATCATACTGGTCTCATCACTGTTCCTTCACATTTGTGTGGTTTTCCATTTCCCTTCTTCCTCCAACCCTGGCTGCATAGTGCATCCTTTAAGGCTAGTCCACAGCAGCAACAATCTTATTCTATATCCTAACACCATTCACTCACAGGGTCAAGGTTCTTCTCCACAAAGCCTTCCCTATAGTAAATTCAGTGGTTGGGAAAGAATTTATAATGAGCCAGGCCCCCCAGGATGGCTATTTCCAGTAAAATAACCCTTAAAAAGCAGCAGCTTATTGTCACTTTTCTAGACAATGAATGGAGAATCTTTCGACTTCTGCTCAAATTTTCACTTGTGTTTACCTGTCTACTCTTGGTATGTTCCAGTTGGTCTTTTGTGATTTCTGAGCCAATCCATTCAGTCTCTGGCAATCTGAGGAGACTGTTCAGTACTTTGGATGGCCCGGTTTAGGCTTTCAGTGCCTTATAGAAGCAATGCCCTTTGAGGTGGTAGCCAATTCTTATGCTCAGTCTCTGACATATGTATCATACTTTGTATTTTTTCAGCCCCCAGTTATGGTTTCTCAGCTCTGGATGGAATTCAGCAAGGTCTTTTGGTAGTTTCTCAGGTTAGATAGCATGGGTTTGTGGAAAGAAAGGAGTGGTACCATAGTTCTTCCTCCATGTCTGCCAGTGTTTCATTTGCTTCCTATTGGTTTTCATCAAACCAATTTCTTATCAACTTCTTCTTTTTGTACCTGCTGTTCCCAGCTGCTCAAGCACCCCTGATGGGTCTTCATAGAAGCCATGGAAGATCTCTTGCCATTCTTGAAATCCCAAGGAGGTGGCAGAGGTGGCCATGGAGCAGGCAGCATTTGAGCAGCAGCCACTGAGCCTCTCAGGACTGGGCCCACTCCTCACCTGGCTCTCAGCCACCCAGTCCCCAAACCTTCATTCAGAATGCAATCTAACTCAAAATTCATTGCTTTTCCCTATCTCAGGAAGCTTTGGTGGGTGGTCCCAGAGTGTCAATGGAGGTGACTGACATAAGGTACACAGGGAGCATCAGGGAATCTGTCCCTAGCGTGCTTGTTCACGGGGCACAGACTACCCAGCTACAGAGTGGATGAAATGCCAAGTTTGACCTTGGAACCCCGGTTGTCTAACTAGCACATCTCACCCCAGGGTTGTTTATCCTCCTGACCGAACAAACTGATTTGCAGTACTGAAGTTTGCAGCAGATAGAGGCCAGGTAGATCTGATTATCTCCTTACCTGCAATGGTCTGAATGATCTTGAGCAAAAGGAGGCAGTCAGATGTGGCAGGTAGATTGTTTACTTACTAAAGATAGTAAATGAGTGATGTTGCTATTTTTTTTTCTTTTTGGTAGTTAGAAAATATCAGTAATTGGTAAAGGAAGAAGTGTTGCTAGCTGACCTCCTGCCCATCTCTGTGCCCGTCTTCCTTTCCAAACCAAGCTTCAGTGGAATGATCTTTAATTGTTTTTTTGCAATTGGTCTTGCAGTCTGCCTTCAGATTGGCGGGGGGGGGGGGGGTGCCATCTCTCAGACCAGGACCTCTCATGAGACATCTCCTGACCATGTAATAGTGACAACTTGCAGGTCTTTCTGGAAACAAGGACCTTTAGCAGAGCCTTCTCATGCCCCTTGGAAAGTTCAGCTCATTAGCAGCTGCCTCCCCTCCATCCCACAGAGGCCATTTCCTCCTTTCACAGATTCAGCAGAAGCTCAACATAAATGGCAATGTCAAAGTCAAAACTATTTTTTAAATGATTAATGTTAGTAAATGGTTTACAAGTTGTTAAGGGCCAGAAAGGAGAATAAACTTAAAAACTTATAGCTTACTGCTAGATCATTCTGAAAGCAGAGAGAATACAGTAATTTATTGGCTCTGCATTACAACTTTCTGGCTGCTTCCCTTATAGGGAGCATAAAACTGTGTTCTGTTCTATGTGCTATCAGAAACAACCCGGGTACATTGCAGTTGCATTTAATTTGTTAAAATCATAGGTGTTCTGAGCCAGAAGGATGAACTTCAAGATAAAATCCAAGTTCCCCACTTGGTAGGTAGGAAAACTGCAGCTCAGAGCTGGGGAAGGCCTTGTACAACGACGCTTCTATTGGCACCAGAGCCTGGCCAACTTCTCTCCTCATGCCAGCTGGCAAGGGTTTTCAAACTGAGCTCTGAATTGAAATTGTCTAGGGAGCTTTAAATCATCCTGATGCCTAAGCCACACCCAAACCAAATAAATCAGACTGTCTAGGAGAGGAGACCCAGGTACCAACAATTTTTATAGCACCATGGGTGACCCCTGTGTGCAGCCTCCACCATATTAGGGGGATGTGTGTCCCAAAATGTTCACATCCAAAGGAGATTGGTCTTTCTAAAATGTAACACAGAAACAAGTTGAGCATATGTGACCTGAGATATTGGTCAGGCTTTGAGCAGCCTTGCAATAACCTGAGTATAGTTTAGAATCCCAGCTCTGCCACTTACTAGTCGAGTGACTACTGGCAAGTCATTTCACCTTGCTAAACCTGTATTTTTCCATCTGAAATGAATTGAGTGTCTTAAGCCCTTCCATTCAGAGTTGCCATGAAAATTTGAGAGAGCTACTATAAAGCATTAGAATAAAGTATTCAATAAATGATAGCTGCTGTTATTAACCTTTAAAGAGGATTAACTTAGTGCTTACAGAATGAATCTCTGCTAGTTGTGCAGCACTGCTTTTAAAGGACAAAAACAATCTTCAGCTGCCCTCCTGTCAGACTAAATGGGTATGATGTTCTTATCTCTTTCAGGTCCATCTGGGAAGCGGGATTTGGGTTGATGAGGAGAAATGGCACCAGCTACAAGTGACCCAAGGAGATTCCAAGTACACGAAGAACTTGGCAGTCATGATTTGGGGAACAGATGTTCTGAAAAACAGAAGCGTCACAGGAGTTGCCACAAAAAAAAAGAAGGATGCAGTCCCAAAGCCACCCCTCTCACCACACAAACTAAGCATTGTCAGAGGTAGGTCACCAAATGGATCCACAATGGCTTTCATTCCATCCTTTACCCTATCAGGCATAATTAATTCAATTCAACACTTACTAAAGTCCCTGCGTGCCAGGCCCTGGGTAGGGGACAGGGAAACAAGAGTAAATGTCCCAAAGGTCACCAAAGAATTCACACTGAACAGAGAAAATGACTGTGGACACAAATACAACTTAAGGAACTAGTCTGAGAGAGGGACAGATGGCATGCTGGAAGTTCTCAGGAGGGAAAATCAGGGGAGAATTCCTAGGGAAAGGGTCACAAATGGGGCCTTGAAAAATACATAAGACATAGAGAGACAGGTATGTGCTGAGAGGTCTTCAAGAAGCAGAGCCATCTAGAACAGTGGTATGGAGATGGAAAAGGAGGGCTGTGTGTACAAAGAGCAGTAAAGGTTCAGGCTGAGCTACAATTCTTATGGTCCTAGCTTTATTCCTGGAGTAGTTAATGAGATAAAGACCAGCTGATTGTCACTGGATGCAGTTTCCTTTCTGGTGTTTGAGAGGACAGGCAAAGAAACAGGGAAACATTTATCTTCTTTTCTTCCTCCTTCTTTCCCTCCCTTCCTTCTTTCCTTCTTGTTGTCCTTCCCTGCTCCCCTCCTTCTTTCCTCTTCTCTCTTCCCTCTCTTCTCACTTCTTTCTTTCCTTCCTCTCTCCCACACTGTCTTCATCCGTTTACTATGCTCTTACTCTTGCCAAGCAAAGTGGGTTTTTGAGGACACAAAGGACAAGACAGAGTATATCTACAAGGAGCTCACAGTTTCAAGGTGAAATGAACATAAAAGTGGTGACTGCACAGATAATACAAAGTAAAGAGACAGTCAGTGGAGTAGAGGGAGCAAAGAGAATATGGTAATTGCTAATTATTTTGAGTACTTACTATGTCTCAGGACCTGTTTTTTTTTTTTAATGATTCTGTCTTAAGAAACACTTTTACATATATTAACTCATTGCTGTTAACAACCCAATTATTGGTTGCTGTTATTACCCTTTTTTTTACAGGTAAGGAAACTGAGAAACCAGGAAATTAGGTAACTTGACCTGGTCATACAGCTGGCAAGACAGCCAGAAGTCTAAGCAGGGATAGCTTTAGAATCTGTGCTCCTAACCACTGTTCTACAAGGTTCTGGGTCTGCCACATTTTGGTGGAGAAAGTAAGACTCTGTTGGTCCAGCATATATATTTTGAGCAGGCCCAGTAGTTTAAGCAGGTTCTTGAGGTAGGCACAAATATGTCCATGGATGAGTCAGACAGTTTCAGGAACTTTGAGCTTCATTATTATGATATGGTAGAACAAAGGGCTGTCTCAGCTGGTGTAGTAGGAGGAGGCCTGTTGGAGAAGAGGTACCATTCAAGCTGAGAGTTGGTGTGGAAGAAGAAGCCCTGTGGAGGTCTGAGGAGTGGTGAGTCAGGCAAGAAAACCACAGATCAAAGAACAGCACATTCAAGGAGTGAAGAAGCTCATGGGGTGAAGTGGACAGAGAGTCAAGAGTGTCAGGGAGGTGGATGAGAGCCGGTTTTGTAGGGACATGAAGGCCATGGCCGGCAGTGTGGGTTTACTCTACTCACCGTAGAGGTAATAGAGGCCATAAGGTTGAGGGGTGATAGCAGGGGAGATCAGTGAGAAGGCTGATGCAGTGGTCTGGCGAAGAGCTGGTACTGCCACAGACAAAGAATAGAGCAGAGTAGTATAAGGAAAGTGGAGAATAATAGCCAGGAGGTCAAGGTAGCAGGACCAGAGAGATTAAGGGACCAACCTTTATCTCAGGTCATAGCTATAAAATTTCAGTGTCTAGATTGAAACCCACACACCCCAGACTCTGATCTGAGCCTTTTCTGATATAATACAGCTGCCTCCCTAGATTGCTGAATTGTGATTAATTGGTTTAAGTAGGCACTTATTTTTAGATAATCAGAGATAACCTTTATTCTGACTGCTGTCTGAAAAGGGACAGTCTGATTCGAGAGGTCACCTTGAGAAAGAGTCCTTCCTGGGGAAGCAGTCCTACTTCTCCTGATAAGTGGCCCACCTCTAGTTAGGCTACACTTGTTAGAATGTGATTCAAAAGATCCCAGGTGCCTTAGGATAACTGACTGTCTACCATTGTCACATTTTGATATAAAATCATCTCCTTTGTTTCTGCCTTAGAGACAGGGGCCTATAACTGACTTCCCACAATGCCTAACTCTCAGTAAGTGAGGACTGAGCAAAAGAAACATAGACTAACCAACTCTTGGTGTGGTTTTTCTAAATCACTTTTCCTCCATGTTTCAGTTCCTCAGCTGAAAACGTACCTCTTAAGATGGGGTCAGGGTTGCAAAGGATTATAATAGTGAAACAGTCTAGAAACTATACCTCAGCTTTTTGGCATAGGGCCATTACAGACTCTATTTCCAAGTCCTCTGAATGCCCTTCCCTGAACCACTCCTTAATTTTCCAAGCCCCTTTTAAACTTTCTCTACTTTTTCAAAACATGAAAAAGTATCTCTCAAAATATAGCCTCATCTTTTCCTTCCCAGAGAAAAGCAAAAGAATTTCTACAGCACTGAACTATAAAACCTACAGACTTAACCATATTCCCCATTCTTCTGCCTCACTCCAGAAAAAGAGTTCTTCTCTTATTTTAGGCTGTCTGTTTTCTCTGGGTTCTGCGTCGAAGTCCACCTGCCTTCCTAACACCTGCTCCGCCAATTGTGCTCCTTCTCTCCTGATTCCTTCCTAGCATGGTTTACATTTACTTAGACTGCTCTTTTCTAATAAAATCAAACCAAACACTCAGAGGCCACTTCTCTTCCATTGCATGTCTAGGCTTCTCCAAGGATGTATCTACACTCACTGCCTGTGTTCTGGTAAAGCCCCTGCGTTCTACTCCCCTGATCTACTTTCAGTGGTCACTGGGAGGTCCCCAGTTACTTCCTCCTTACTAGCTCCAAGGCTCTTAAATCCAGGACTCATTTCTCACTTCCTCACCAACAACATTGGACATGACCCTCTTGCTTTCCTAAGAAACACATTTCTCTATGTGCTCAGAATTCCTTCCCTTCTGGATCCTCAGTCTCATGGGTGGGCTTCTCTTCTTGCACCTCTGCTCTGTCTCCCACCTTTCTTCTCTCTCACCCTTTCACATTTTTCTCAGTGGCTGATCTCAATTCCCTTTGTTCCCATTGTTCTCAGTGTGCCCACAGCCCTCAGTTGAAATCTGTTCCTCCTCCTGACTGATGCCTACTGATCTGGCCTCTGGTGACCCCTCTGATCTCATCTTACCACACTTCCCACTTCACACCATGAGGTAGTCACAGAAGCCTTCTTCTAGTTCCCTCCTACTCTTACTGCCTCTGGTGCCCTTCTTCCTGACCTGCACATCCTGCCTCTTTGTCAGAGAGGCCTCCCCAGCTGTTCCCTCTTGAGTCGTCCTTCTGTTGCTCTCTGTCAAATCACCCTACTTAAAGGCTCTCCAGAACATGTCCTATGTACCTGCTAATTGTCTTTCTCCCTAGCCTCCACTAGAAGCTAAGCTTTACGAACATCTTGTTCAACCAAGACCAGCCTTCTGTGTTCCTTGGCTTGGTGAATGGCACCCAGCTTGGCCAGGAACCTAGGCCTTACCCTTGCCTCTCCCATGTCTCCCTCCCCATCTGTCCAGCCCCAAATACCTCTTCATCCCTCTACTACTCCCCATACCTATTGTCCCCTCATAGGGGAGGGAGGGCCACTGGGCTATTCCAGCAGCTTCTAGGCTTCTCTCCCGATTATGTAACAAGAATGATCATTCAGAAGCCAGATATGATCCTTTTACTACCACCCCAGCACAGCCAGTTCAGAGTGTTCATTATTAAAGGGTAAGCTTCTTAACATGTCATATAAGCACCTTTACTGTCTGGTCCCTGGCTATATTGCCAGCTTCATTTTCAGCAATATTGTCCTTGAGCTCTAAGTTATTATCAAAATGAATTACTATATTCCCTGAATATGCCTCATTCCCTCTCACCTTGGGAATTTGCACATACCTGGAACATAGTCAGACTACCCTCCTACATGCATCTTGCTTTGCTCAGCTACCTGCTGCTCACCACCCAGATCTGCTTGGAGAAACTGTCTTCCAAGAAGCTGTCTCTGACCTCTTAAGGCAGGTGGGTGCTTCCATCCTGTGTCCCAGTATACCCAGGACCTACCTCAGTCCTATTCTTCTTTGTTTCCTAACAGCCTTGTCTACAACACCTTTGAGCCTATGAGCACTTTCCCTATAAGTAGATGAGAAGGAAATTGACTTGCCCAAGGCCATACGACCATTAGAAACAGAGGGAACCAAGCCTTGCGATTTCAGGCTTCATTTTGTCACCAGAGGTTTCTTGTCTTACTAAATTGCAATGTTGATGTTCTACTTTTGTACGACAGCCAGACAGGTTTGAAATCTGTGTCTCATTCCACCCTATAGTAACCATTTTTAGCCTAATTATTTGAGCTAGTTCAGATTGCATTTAGCTGGTTCTTTACATGCAAGCTGTCTAGCTGGATTGACATTGTTTGTATTTATTTTGTATGATTTTATCACATTTAGGCACCTTGGCAGTATAAAAATGGCAAAAGCCTTTATACTCACATGGTGGGTGAGGATTTCCGCTTTGATGTCAAAATCATTCCTTACTGGATAGCAGGAAGATGCGGTAAACACTGACCCTGCTTTAAAAGATGAAAGCAGGAGAACAGAGCCAACTCTTCCTCTAATGACAAGCTCCAGAATGACAGCTAAACCTTATTAAGGTCAAATGACCTTTTACAGAGTGTCTGAGTTTTCTAAATGAGCCAGGGCCTTGCGTTCTGGTTAATTTTTATAACTTTTTTAATAGGACACATTAGTGCTGTTATAAACCTTGTTAATTAAACAATAATCTCAAATGTTCCCTCACAGAGGGAGACATTCCTGCCAACTGCAGGTGATTAATAACTGGAGCCTAACAAAAGCCTTTTAATCAACCTGAGGGGCTATTCAATGTTGTTACTCGTGCTAGTGGGTCTGTCATATACACTCTCCTGTCCTCCACTTCTCTCTCCTGCCCTTATTGCCTTACAGACAATTAGAGAGTTAGAGCTAAAAGAATCTCCTCAGATTATCTAGTTTAACAACCCACTTTCATGTATAGTGACACTGAGACCCAGAGAGGCCTTAGATGTTGTACAACATCTAAGATTAGAGCCATTTCAAGTACCTGAACATCTCACAGGCTGTTGGTTCAGGTTATGGCAAGATCATCACAAGTGTTCACTTATTCCTGGTTCTTGATGGGAGCAGAAATGCCCAAGTGTCCCAGTCTATGGAAGAGAGGGTGTGGTTTTATTACATTATGATCAGTGCTTCCATAGAAAACCCTAAACTGGTGTGGGAGTACAGTGTTGTAGGTGGATTGTCTTCTCCTAACTCAATCTGGTAGGTTCCAAGAAGGCTGTGTCTGAAAGAACGAGTAGGCCTTAGGAAAGCAAAGAAGAACAAAGATATTGATTGGTGGGATAGCTTGGAAATCAAACAAAATTTCAGGTGGATACAGCAGGAATGGGCAGAGAGACAGAGCACTCTACCTTCTTGTCCCCTGGTCCTTAAGGAAGGATGAAGAGAAGATAAACTGAGGATTGGGAGTGGTCAGGGGGTGGTGGAGGTCAATGAAAAGCTTCTAAAGGCACCTTTGTGCAAAACCCTTCTCAGTAAGGAAAAAAAGGTAGCCCAGAGAAAGAATGGTGGTGGCATATATGCCTGCAGCATGAATGGCAAGAGGCAGTCTGATCACATGCCAAGAAAGGCAGAATGTGGGGAGGCAGTCATAGATTCTTCCCTGCACTGACTCCCTCTCTCTAGGCCTCAGTCTTCCATGTGAGTGGAAAGATTATCAAAAATTAGTCCATTTGATCAGTTCTAATGTAAACACTGCATCTCAGAAGATTATTTTCTCTAGGCTGACTTGGTAAAGACCAGATCTTGCTTATATTCCTTAGCAGTTCCTTAAGATTGGATAGTCATTCTGTTTTGTAAGGTAAGGAAATTCAGGCTCAAAGAAGTTAAAGTTTTGCCTGTGATTACATATCCTACCTGCAAAGGTGCAAATAGTTCTCTTATGTCCAGAATTTTTATGTCCTCTCAGGGTTCCCTGTGAAAGCATTTATTCATTCATTCAACATATATTTACTTAATCTTGCTCCTTTACTAAACTCTGTGTTAGACTTTGGAAATTAACAGTTGTATATACATCAATAATTGTACCAATGCTATATTGGCATAGTTGTTCCATAGTTTCAAAAAGGCCTGTAACTGTTTACTCCACATATATCATGGCATCCTTAGTAAGCAGTCTAAGACAATGATTTGCACCAGGTCCCCAGGCTAGGGGACAGGCTGAAAACTAGGCTATCGTCAGTTCTTGACTGGGGCTGGCTCTTTGCTTCCCCATAGCAAATGGTAGGCTCAGTAAAAGAGTAGCTGCTCTCAGCCTTGTTGGTAATCACCACAATGAGGCATCACTTCACATCCACTAGGTTGTCAAAACCTTAATCTTATGTCAGTGTCAAGTGCTGTTCAAGATATAGGGTAACCAGGACTTGTACACATTTCTGTTTGGAGTACCAGTCAGTGCCACAGTTCAGAAAACAATTTACTAGGCATCACCTAGTGAATTTTGTATGCATATACCTTAACATTCAGTACTTCCATGCCTAGACTGATGCTAGAGAATTTTTTGCGTATTTACCCATAAGACATGTTCAGAGGTATTTGGAATTTTGAAACCAAGTATCCATGAACAATAAAATGGATAAACAAAGTGTGATATAGTCATACAGTAGCTCACACTATAAAACTGAATAACATCTGCAAGTGACAAGGATACATAAAGATGGGCACATTTATGCAAAGACTGAAAACAGGAAAATAAGCAGTTTGTTATTTAAGGATAGATACATATATGATGCCATGAAAAGAAAAGGAAAACAAAATTCAGAAGAGTGGTTACCTCTGATGAGGGAAAGTGGAGAAGATGGAAATGTTACATACATCAAAATGAGATACCACTACACACCTGCTAGGATGGCTTAAATAATCACAAGTTCTAGGAAAGATAAAAAGAGAGGACAAGGGAGGGTTAGAAAGGGGTAAAACCAGGGGTTTTCAGACCAGTAATATGTTGTTACGCTAGCTAGTGGGAACATGGATGTTTTACCAATATTTTTAAAGTATAAATTTACAGTATATCTACTCTCTTCCAAGTACATTTTGTGGTGAAAAATTTTAACTGTAGCTATGCAAGATATATGGATTGGCATTTGGGAAGTATATCAGGCGACACATCCTCTCCTGCCCCCTTAAAAGATTTGTTCTTGAATTCACCATTAATCTTTGGCCTTTTTGTTTCTTCTCTCTGTCTAGAGTGTTTGTATGACAGAATAGCACAAGAAACTGTGGATGAAACTGAAATTGCACAGAGACTCTCCAAAGTCAACAAGTACATCTGTGAAAAAATCATGGATATCAATAAATCTTGTAAAAATGAAGAACGGAGGGAAGCAAAATACAATTTGCAATAAACTTTGGTTTTTCATAAAGCCTTCGCGTTTTCCTTGCAAGGTGTGTGATTTGCGGACGATGGTGTCATCCAAATCAGACCCCAGCACGTTTGGTGGTGTGCAGGTAGGGAGCTAGTAGGGTGCTGGGGTCAGTGGCTTGTTCTGAACTTGGACTTCCTACTCCAAAGAAGGCAGATGGATTTGCTGAGACTCAGGCAGAGCCTGGTGCCACAGGTGTCATTATGGCAAAGGGAAAAGCACTTTTCAGAGGGTGGTAGAGCGTCTCTAAGCTGCCTGTCACTTGACCACGATATGAACTGATATTTTTACTGTCAAGGACTTCTATCTTTGCTCTTCTATTTTGTTCTATAATAAAGCTTCATTAATTCTTAATGTAGACAATCATTACCCTCATTTATTTAAAATATTAAGCGTATAGTGGAGTTGGCTTGTGTGTCATGTGGCCTGGAAGGTCCTTCTAAGGTGAAACTTTCAGTATGAAGAAGATTCCCCTTAAGGGATGTGGTTGCGGCCGACAACTCTGAAGGCTGTCTAAAAAGCAGCTTTCTCTGACTTCAAAGAATGGATCTTGGGCCAGTCAGCTTTCTGAAGATGATCTGAGCTTCCGTTTCCCTGATCGTTTGAGCCAATCTTTGTAAAGAAAGGGGTATAGGAGGGCAATAACATTAGATGGTACCGGGTTGCGGGCAGTGTCACCTGTTACCAACTTGTTCATTTTATCTTGTATCTCCAGGATCTTTCAAGTTGCATAATTTTTTTATCGAATTCTTTATTCAGTTACTGAGTCTCTAAGGTGTCTGGCACACATCTTGGCAAACCATGCTTGATCTTCCTGTTGATTTGCAGTTTCCTTTATGTAAGGCCTGTGAAGTCAAGGTGTGGCATTTTGGAAAGGGCAAGGGCTTTGGACAGATGCTTTTAGGCTCTAAGCATGAGTTCCCTGCTTGCTTTGGACTTAACTGAACCTCTCTGAGTTTTCACTTTTCTATTTCATAGAAAGAAGATAATTCCGACTTTGCAGAGTTGCTATGAGGATTAGAGATAAAACATACAGAGTACTATCACCTCAATTGGTGAAGTATAAACAAAAGCTCAGGGTTACTAGGGTGAGTAGGGGAAGTGGCTGCTACTTTGAGACCTTTTATTTCAGTAAATTCAATAATCCCTTGTATGTATATGCTCACCACTAGTATGTATAGGTGAGAATTTTCTTTAATGGTATTTTCCCAGCTGTCTACAAATTAGCACTGTGAACTTGGGCCAATCACTTCACTTTTTGTTGTTATTATCAGTAAAATGAGGAAAGTAATGCCCACTGCTTAAGGTTATATAGATAAATATTAACAAGTTGTGTGCCAGGGCTTGTCTAAGTGTTTAGCATAAGTTAATTCATTTCATGAGGTAAGTAAAGTTTGTGACATATAGTAGGCACTTAATAAATTGAGATGTATTCACTTTTATAGCATGAGGAAGCTTGTATGGGGTACATAAGAGACAGGAAAAGTATGTGTTACTGTTGAGTTCATCCCCATTTCTCCCTAAGTATGGTGAAAATACAAACACCCAGAGGCTCTGTGCATTCCCTAAAGACTAATATAATATGGAACCTGCTTTGTGTAGGTAGGTGTTTTTAGGTTAGTGGGGAAAAGAGCTGTAGAAATATCTACAATAAAAATACCTGACAAATGTGAAAGTGCTTTGTATAATGTATGATGCATGTCTTAGGGACAGGTCAGGCCAGTGAAAAACTGTATCTGGGTTCAAGTCCTTTCTTTACTACTACCTGACCCCTCATAATGATCCTTAACTCAGGACTGTTATGGGGAGTAATTCAGATATCTCTAGAAAAGGGCTCTATAAATCACATACATGCAGATGTCAGTTATCCTTAGCATGTAAAGCAGAACGAAATCAGAGTGGATGCAACAAGGAAACACACTTATAAGAGCCAGTTCTGATGGGATCAAAAGGTTTCACCCACTACTTAGACTGAGATAGCTTTGAGACCCTGACATGTGCCTGGTGCCTGTGATTATGATGTGAGTGTAGGATCCTCATTCTTAAACCCGTGATACAGATGAAGAAGTGGGCTCAGAAAAAGTTAGTTAATGCCTTGCATAAGGTCCTGGAGCTATAGCAGTGATACAGGGTCAGAATGGAGGTCTATGCAATCTTTTTTTTTTTTTTTGCTTGTGAGAAGATTTATTTTAAAATAAAATTTAAGGGAGAATCAGGTAGCAATACTACCTGAAAAGCTTATGTAAACAACCAACAAAAACCTATAATATATCTAAAAATTATTTTTATTATTTTTTAATTTTTATTAACATATATTCATTGCATAGGGGGGTTTCATTGTGCCAATTCCCAATAGCCTTGCATTGTACATTGGTTAGGTTGCCCCCACCATCTCCCCACCCTGAACCCCATCTCCACCCCACTTAATGCAATTGCAAGAGGTCTTATTGTTCTATTTCATATGTGTATATGAAGACTTCATCTCCATATTCCCTCATCTTCATCTCCTTCATTCACTCTCCCCCCCAAGTATGCCTTCCCCCAGTGTACCTACTTTATAGTCCTGTTGAAATTTCATTTCTTTAATTCCAAAATCCGTGTTCAAAAGGGTTTCTCAATGTATCCCAGACATGAACATACCTCGCTTTGGTCAGTTCAACCCCCTCTGTTACTTTCCCTTACCCCTCTATTATCCTCCCACCCACTCCCACCCCCATTTCAACCTGTCATTTTACCTCCTCCCTGAAAGGTAGAGTGGAATATTATGGCCTGGCTGAGACTCTAGCCATGTCATCTCAGGTGTCTTTAGGAATAACCCAACCTAATTTGTCAATGGTGGGTCCAATTAATTGCAGGCCATTGGGAGGGATTGAGAGTAACAATAGCATTTATAAACATTTATTACATTCAAATACACAAATTTCACAACTGTTTTGGGTAGCAGAGTGTTTCTGACACTTGCCTAGTCTTAAGAATTTGCTTAAGTGCTTAAAGTACAGATTCCCAAGGTTCAGCCAGGAGAGCCTGATTTAATGGGTCTGGGATAAGGCTGGGAATGTGTATTTTGACACAAGTGCCACTTTTGAAAAATACCAATTTAGTAGAATTCCTTAAATCTACTTGAATGAACGAATGAATGCTTCATAAGTGGAGAAATAAACAAAAAGCCCTGATGGTCCTAACGTGCCTGAGCATATTTGAAACCAAGAATAAATTTCTCTCTCAATAACTGAGGATCTGCCCTAACACCTATCTAGACTTGTTCTTCATGATTTGCAAATGCCACTTAGTTGGTGCACCAGTTGGCAATGACTTTCTGTGAGGCACCAGTGATCTTGCCCTCACTTTTACTCTTTGATTCTCTTGATTTCTGTGACAGGCCAATGTGTTGTTTAGGACAGGATGGTCAATATTGAATTGGCAGAACCTGAATCAGTGAGGTATGGGCATCATCTTCCAAATCTCTGACAGCAAGTTCTCTGTTGCCAGCAGAAATGTGGGCTTGACTTTATTTTCTAGCTAAGGAACATGTGATAGTGACTCATTTTCCTGTTGGTTTCTTGTATGCATTTCTAAATTATGATTTTCTTTGTAATTATAAAGAAATAAAAAACACTTTATAGAAATTTTGGAAAAGTAGGAAAGACCCTCCAAATTGTACCTCCAAATTGATGGAGCTCATCTATTCTTTTTTCAAGGGCATAACTATATTTTTTTTCAAAACCTATACTAGGATCAGGTTTGTACCCTTTTCTGCGTATTTAACGTTTCCTTGTTGTTCCATGACATTCACAATTATCAATTCTAACATCTCTAAAGTGGGAAGACATAAAGCTACAGTTGAATAAATCATCTGGTCAGCTTCCTAGGCCCTTACAGTGGGGCTCACCCACAGCCCTGCCACTTCATGAAGGGCCTTGCTGCACACCTTAATAAAGACACAGTGATAGAGTGAGCTTGAGTTAGACGGCATGTGCAGTCAAGTTCACGTCTTAACTCTAGTGCTTCTTACCTCACTTGAAGCAAGTTAGTTCTTTTTTTTGTGGGGTTTGAACTCAGAGTCTCCCACTTGCTAGGCAGGTATACTGCCATTGAGCCATTCCCCTACTCCTTTTTGCTTTAGTTGTTTTTTGGATAGGAGCTCATGTTTTTGCCCAGTCTGGCCTTGGACCATAGTCCTCCTACTTATTCCCCCCACCATATAGCGAGATGGGGGTCTCGCTAACTTTTTGTCTGAGCTGGTCTTGAACCAGCATCCTTCCCAGTCTCTGCCTCTTGAGAGGCACACACATAAGCCACCTCACCCAGCTTCTCTTTTTTAACATTGGCTGTTGAATTTGCAAAGTGAAAGAAATAATGTCTAGTTAATGAGCTGTTAGCTCTGAGAATGTAAAGTGTCCCAGCAAGACAGGATAAATGGCCATCGGTAATGACACTGGATTTCTCCACTCTCCTATCTTCTCCCCACACCTTTTTATCCCTCACTGAGTGTGCTCTGTCTTGTCTCTAACCTGCTGACCTCTTACACAGAGTCCTTGGGTTTCATACCTGCCTTTGACTTTCTAGAAATTTTCTGCTTATTCTACAGTTCTTGGGAGTTAGGATTTCCCAGTGCACACTAGCTAAGTTCACTTTGTGCTTCAGCTCCCCTCTCAGTCCCCACCCACCACCTCCTGGACCATTTGCCATTCTTGAAAGTTCAGACTGTTTATAAATAAAACTCAAATGAAGATGTTTGTGTTGAGTGGTTTTTTTTTTCCCTTTATATTTTTCTTTGTTTTCTTAGGATGGTTTCACATTGATCAAAAGTAATAACTTTTAGTATCTTTTTGGGGGGGGCGGATAATGGGGATTGAACCCTGGCTGGCCTAGCAAATGTTTTACTACTTGAACTATGCCCCTAGTCATTTCGTTTGTATTTTGTTTTTGAGATAGGGTCTTGATATCTTTGCTCAGATGGATGTGGAACTCATGATTCTCCTGCCTTTGCCTCCCAAGTGACTGTGATTATAGATATGAACTACCACATAAGCTCACTTTTATTATTCTTTAAACACTTAATGGGTGTTTCCATTAAAATTATTCTGCCAATTCAATTGCTTGAAAAATAGTACTTTATATTCTCTTTAATAATTATCAAAATTGCACATATCTCCAGAGTTTACTTTCTTCTTTATAGAAAGAAAAACTTCTTTAAAACCTGTAAGCATTGCCAGCAGAATCCATTTAATTGTCTGTATTTAGTTTTCCCATGGACCAGTTTATTTACCATGAGAATGTAATTTTTGCTTTTATGTCTACAAAGAGATCCAGTAACAGATATTTTTCATCTCTTCTTTTGAAGGGATTGAC